CAAATGCTCCATTCCTTGCTGAAACAAAGGGGTTTAATAGTAAGTGTTTGGTAATTAGAGTTTTGGAAGATCAGAGCATACATGAAGTTTAACATGTCTTTGAGGTCAGATGGTATATGAAATTTTGCCTGTCAAAATGTCAGGGAAAGAGAAATTAAAGAAGACACTAACAAATGGAAACTCATCCCATGCTATTGGATAGGAATAATTAATATAGTCAAAATGGCCATCCTGCCCAAAGCAATATACAGATTCAAAGCAATCCCTATCAAATTTCCAACAGCATTCTTCAACGAACTGGAACAAATAGTTCAACGAACTGGAACAACGAACTGGAAAATTCATATGGAACCACCAAAGATCCCAAATAGCCAAAGCAATCCTGAGAAGGAAGAATAAAGTGGGGGGGATCTCACTCCCCAACTTTAAGCTGTACTACAAAGCCACAGTAATCAAGACAGTTTGGTACTGGCACAAGAACAGAGCCACAGACCAGTGGAACAGAATAACAGAATAGAGACTCCAGACATTAACCCAAACATATATGGTCAATTAATATACAATAAAGGAGCCAGGGACATAAAATGGGGAAATGACAGTCTCTTCAACAGTTGTTGCTGGCAAACAGCTACATGTAAGAGAATGAAACTGGACCATTGTCTAACCCCATACACAAAAGTAAAATCGAAATGGATAACAGACCTGAATGTAAGTCATAAAACCATAAAACTCTTAGAAAAAAACAAAGGCAAAAATCTCTTGGACATAAACATAAGCGACTTCTTCATGAACATATCTCCCCGGGCAAGGGAAACAAAAGCAAAAATAAACAAGTGGGACTATATCAAGCTGAAAAGCTTCTGTACAGCAAAGGATACCATCAATAGGACAAAAAGGCATCCTACAGTATGGGAGAATATATTCATAAATGACAGATCTGATAAAGGGTTGACATCCAAAATATATAAAAAGCTCACACACCTCAAGAAACAAAAAGCAAACAGTCCAATTAAAAAATGGGCAGAAGAGCTGAACAGTTATCCAAAGAAGAAATTCAGATGGCCAACAGACACATGAAAAGTTGCTCCACATTGCTTGTCATCAGAGAAATGCAAATTAAAACCACAATGAGATATCACCTCACACCAGTAAGGATGGCTACCATCCAAAAGACAAACAACAACAAATGTTGGCAAGGTTTTAGAGAAATGGGAACTCTCCTACACTGTTGCTGGTAATGTAAATTAGTTCGACCATTGTGGAAAGCAATATGGAGGTTCCTCAAAAAGCTCAAAATAGAAGTACCATTTGACCCCGGAATTCCACTTATAGGAATTTACCCTAAGAATACAGCAGCCCAGTTTTAAAAAGACAGATGCACCCCTATGTTTATCGCAGCACTATTTACAATAGCCAAGAAATGGAAGCAACCTCTGTGTCCATCAGTAGATGAATGGATAAAGAAGATGTGGTAGATATACACAATGGAATATTATTCAGTCATAAGAAGAAAACAAATCCTACCATTTGCAACAACATGGATGGAGCTAGAGGGTATTATGCTCAGTGCAATAAGCCAGGCAGAGAAATACAAGTACCAAATGCTTTCACTCATATGTGGAATATAAGAACAAAGAAAAATTGAAGGAACAAAACAGCAGCAGAATCACAGAACCCAAGAATGGACTAATAGTTACCAAAGGGAAAGGGACTGGGGAGGATGGGTGGGAAGGGAGGGATAAGGGTGGGGAAAAAGAAAGGGGGTTATTACGATTAGCATGTATAATGTGGAGAGGGGCACCAGAGGGCTGTTCAACACAGGGAAGACAAGTACTGATTCTACAGCATTTTACTACGCTGATGGATAGTGACTGTAATGGGGTTTGTGGGGGGGACTTGGTGAAGGCGTGAGCCTAGTAAACGTAATGTTCTTCATGTAATTGTAGATTAATGATACCAAAAAAAAAAAAATGGCAGGGAACAAGAATGGGAAAAATGCTGAATTTAGATGAAATCAGGAGCTAGTCTCTGGTGCAGCAGGTCAGTTAAGCTTGGGTTTTACATGGTTAATGCAGGAGGATTGGGCATCGATAATTTTTTCGGGGACTCTGATTTGCAGAAAATGACAAAATAATTTTTCCAAAACATAAACATGGTAACCTGTCTCATCCTTTGAAGTTGAAACCAGTGATTTTTTTTTTAACTGCCTGGGACAATCTTCATGTGATTCCTAACAGCTTAACTAATTTTGATTTTTGTTGTTGTTTGTTTGGTTTTAAAATACTAAGAGCTTTCTTTTTAAATATCTAGTTGGCATCTCTAGGCAAGGGGATCTCACTGAGGGCTCCATGTAGCCCCACAGCTAATAGAAATAATAACAATGCTGATAATGAAGGCAGTGGAAGCAAACACTCTTGCTTATTAATGTGTGTGATACCATTCTAAGAATTTTACATAAATCATTTTAATTCTACGATTATTTATATCATTTTTAGGTAGGGCTCTGGTTTTCCAGATGAAGAAGTCAGGAGGGTTTTGACTTACCTTTACATGGAGGCATAGCTTTTATTTCATCACACATTTTATGGCTTTTTTTTTCTCAATCTCTAATTGCCTTTTAGTTTGCCCTCCCACTTTTGCTTTTGGGAGTTGGACACAGCTGTTAGCACTGCCAGTTCCCTTACTAGAATGGAATTTTTAATCCTCTGTGTTTCTTTGAATAACTGGCTGCCAGTTCAAAGGCTGGCATATAAGCCTATGACCTAGATTCATATCCTGGTTTAAAAAAATGAGACCAGGGAGATGAGAATCAGGCATTTTTAACTTTTGTGCTGGGACTCAGATTCTTCTGCAAAGCATGTGTTTCCAAAACCCGTGAATAGGATTCAAATATAGGGTTAAAAAAAAGAGCATGAGAAATGTCTATTATAGTTACTCATCTTGTGCCTTCCCTATTTTCTGTGATGTATGAAGGATCACCAACAAAAATTTGATGGTCTTATTTATACATACTATTTTCCCTGAAATGGTGTTTAGGGTATTATATATAGGTATTGTTTTAATTATTGATACCAGAGTTTCAGATTTGTCTTACTAATCATTATCCTAGGAAACATATTTGACAGAAACATCAGTAAAGAACACAAGCAGAGACTCTCTTCAGAGAAGCATAAATATGCTATGAGGAGATGTCATGAAAAGGACTGGTATATTTTTGCTTGGTAGAGGAGTCAGTGAATCTGTTGAAATTTAGGATAACTAGTGTGAGGAAATTTGCTAGGAGGGGACACACTATTGTAAAATAATATTGATTACTGATGCAGTTTCTTACCTTCGCTTCAAGGCATTAAAAACAAAAAGATTCCTCTGTTGTAGCAGCCAAACCTGTCAATCCAATCTAGGCTGTGCACTGGAAGAAGGAATAGATAGGGATACCAGGCAGGAAGCAGGAAAGATAAATAGCTACTGGTAAGAAAACTAAAATGTACAAAAGGGACAATCAAGATCTTTGCAAAGCTTTTCTAAGCGCTCTGGACTCACTCAGGCATCCTTGTGCTTTTGCACTCTCTTCTTCTCCCTTCTGCATAGCACAGAAGCAGCCCCAGAAGATCTAGAAGCCTTATTTGGAGTTAGCGCTGCTATTGCTTATCCTCAGCCTGCTTTTACTAAATATGCTCTTGATGCAGGCGAGAAGGAAACAACTGCTGACATTTCTTCGTAGTCTTACCAGTCGTGGCATTTGTGTTTGGCACAGGACTTAAACCAGAAATGTGGGATTCATGTAAGAATCTCCTTCCATAGTCACGATCAGTACTCCTACTTTTAGTAATTCTTTGGAAGTGGAAGGTGGTGTTTCTGGCATACACTTGAGGGTGATAATGGGGATAAAAGGAACAAGAGCAAGTATGCTCTATGATGTATGGCTGCTAGGTAGACACCAAATGTATGCTTCCTCAGTATCCAAATTTGTTTGGCTTATTTGAAACATTAAAATGCTTCCCTGTTATCCCAAACCCTGATTGTTCAGTCGTGTTTTTTGTATTGAAATTAGTTTTTGTAGAATGGTAAGATTAGCTAACGCTTTTATAGAATCAGGCACCGATCTAAGTATTTTACATGTCTTAACTCTTTAGTTTTCACAACCCTATGACATATGATATAAATACTATCATTTTCCCCATGCACAGATGAGGAAAGTGAGAATCACAGAGGGTAAGTGGCTTGCTTAGGAACCTCCAGCAAGTAAAGAGCAGATTTTTGGAGCCCAAGAAACCTAGTGCTGGAGTCTGTGTCTTCAGCCACAATAGTCTCTGCCTACAAGAAAATCATTGAAAGTTTGGTCTTTATTCATAATACAGATAAATACATATGTTATATGTAATATGCTATATTTTAAAGTAATTTGAGGAAAGTGAGTTTTAAAGTTTTCATTGAAATAATTAGCTAATGTTTTACAGGCAATTGTGCAACAAATATATGGTATTTTATATTTAATTGAGTTGAAAATTATTATTGTAGTTATTAAAATACATGTGTTTATATTGATTGAAAGTGTTAATATAACTGTAGAGCATATAAAGAGCCATAAATGATGAAAGGGGAAGCTTTTAATGTAATTGGAATCTGCTAAAAATGAATAGTTTTGCTGCTTATGAAAACTAATAATCATTGTTCTCATTCCTGGATGAAATTTGATTTTCATTATGAAATTTGAAACTAGAGTTTGATCTATATTATGAAGACTATTTTTTTAGGATTATCAGCCTAAATTTCATCATTATGTTTTTTTAACTTAAGTTTAGATAAAGGAATTTTAATGTGTATTTAGAGGACATATATTTAAGGATACTCTTTAAAGTGTCTAATTCTAATGATTAATTAAAGAAAATTTTCATAATTATCTACTTATACCATTGCTTAGTGTGAACATCCATGCTATATCTTCTTGGATATTTTCAATATAAGATATATTTATGCTTATACACTGAAATTTTTTTCAGGAAATTCCAGCACCAGGCAGCTATGATGTTCAAAAATCATATGCGATGTCTCAAGTTCAACATAAATACATGCCACCTCGTAGTTTTGTGGCTAAACTAAAACATGCCTCCTTTCTTAGCTGTACTCCTTGGTGTCCAGACAAAATGACTGATGGGCCAGGTAAGTTTTTGACAGTCCTTTAAAAGCTACAGGGAAAGAAATCTAAGGTTTCCATTTTAAAACAGACCATTGTAAACATACACATACTTTTACTTTGCCTCTTTTAAGTATGCAGGACAAATAAATCCTGGTTATTCAGGAAAAATTTGGTTTATTTTTCAACTGTAAAATGATTTGTTTGGAGTTTTATGTTCCTTAATTCTACCAAGGACAATTTTACCCATTTTATTAAAACTAATAAAGTCATCTTCTATTAAGGAAAAACCCCAAATCTTAAAATGCTAGAATTATTAGAAAAGCACTTTACCATGATTTAGATCAATCATATAAAAATACACATCATACCAGTTTCATGGAATTATTTTAATGTTTCTCAAGTATCAAGAAAACATCTATACAAATACTTTTTTGGGGGTCTAAAATAATTGGTTTTTAAAATTGGGATTAGTTCAGCTACTAGTAATAACATTCTGAGCTAAAAATGAATGTAATAACTTTACCTGGTAATGAAGATAAATCATCAAGTATGTTATTTCACACAGGAAAGTGGTATAGCAAATAAGAACAATAATTTCCAACAGTAATATACAAATGTATTGCCACTATACAACCAAACTGTTGTAATCAATCTTTATGAGAATATGAAGAGAAAAAATGAAATAGCGTGGAGAAATTCTTTCAAATTTTTAATGAAAAACAGAAGCAGGAGGATACAACCTGTCAAGCAAAGAGGAATACTTGGAGAGCCTGAGATCCACAGAGGCTTGCTTTGTTTTTCACTGTCTTTCAAGAATCAAGTATATTGCCAATTTTAAGGTCCATTTTATGTAAAAAAATTTTTATTTTCCTTTTTTTTCTCTTTGTGTTATTGTAACAGTAGCTCAAGTATACCGTTGATTTTGTCAGGTTATAGCTTTGTTGTGAAGTAGAGTTCAAACAGCTTTAATATGTCTGTGAGCACACTTAATATGCAGTCACCAAGAAGTGGTGCAGGGAAATTAGTTCTCTGAGTTCTGGTGCTATCACTGTCATCATCACCAAGCACAGTCAACCAAATAAAAAAAATATTTATTTCAGAGTCTCTTAAAGTAAATTATGTTAAACTTCATATTTTCTGAAGATTTTATTCTCTCTGCCTTTACTTTCCTCTCCATAAAAATTATAGATAGAATTCATAAATGAGCTACAGTTCAAGTGCCAGTTTTAGCACCCTAACTTTTGATAGCTCCAGTATTCAACCTATGGCAAGTAAATTCGCTAAGTTATTTCATTGCTTTCTATTTTAAAAAATTGAGATAATATTTGCCACCTACTTGGCTTTCAAGAGTATACTGAAGATTAATAAGACTATTTCAATGTCATTTTCATAACTGGTGAAGCTTCTCAGAAGTATAAGGTCTTATTATAATATGAAACACATTTCTTAATATCAAGTCAACACTAACTTCTGAAAGAATTTGGGAGGGGGAATTCTTCATAATGAAGGCAGTTATTATTCAGATGTCAGACTCAGTGACTGTTAAAGTCACTATACAACTGTTGAGTAGCCAGCTTACCAAACAAAAAGAGTATACACCACATACCACATTGGTTAAAGCAGTAATCCATCAAGCTTAATCTTACATTTTAAAGTAACCTACAGTTCAAAGAAATGATAGCAGAACTCCCATATGCCTATTTTAATAAACACATTAGAAAAAAATGTGGATTTCTGAAGCTATTACCTGATACCATGGTGTATAAAATTTGATTTCCTCTGATGTGCAGATATTGTAGTAATTATAGAACTCTTTATTCTTTTAAATTTAATCTGGTATCTTAAAGTATGTAGTTCAAAATATGTCTCCAACATAGATTTAATACGTAATCAGGGTGAATTCAATTAATATCCATGCTTCATTTCGGTAATTGAAGAGTAACTTCCATCGGTCCTCATGCTGTTACACTGATCCAATCAAGGAAGAGATATTCAGGTGCTTGAAATTCTTAATACCATCTAACTTTTGCTGGGGACGACTAATATGTTAAGTCTTTTGATTTTTAAATAAATTGTTGTATAATCAAAGATACAGTGATAATAGTCCTATTGGTTATATTTGTGTCAATTTTTATCCTGTGACTGCTATCCTTTTATATCACACATTCATATGAATAAGAAAAAAAGTGTGCTTTAATCCTATTGTCATTTAAAAAATGGTTAAACTGTTTACCTTAATACTAATGGGAAGGACCTATTTGGGTTGTTTGTCAAATTCTTTATGTCAATAAAGAATTGTGTTGTTATGTTTATACATATGCATGTAACTGAAAGTATTAGATTGTTTGAATCAGTTTATAGACCATAATATGCTTATAACTTGAGTCATGACATTACTATCAAGAATTGAGTGCTTGCATATTGTTATCTTTCTACCTATACATAGAATAATTTGCAAGTGAAAATTGATTAATGAATGTCTTACATTTGGTACGGTAAAAGTGTTAAGAACTAAGGTTGATAAATGATATATATATATTCTGAGTTAGGAGTTTGGTTAATATATGAGTAATATTCTTATGAGAGTTACAAACTTATAGGCCATTCATTCAATCACTCGACATTTTATAGCCATGTATTTATTTCAGATTGTTTTAGAACTTTAATTAACAATGTGGAAGTGGTTTTGTTTTATTCATAAATGACTTTTTTCTTGGACTACACATACTTAAGGATAGAACTCATTTTCATTAGTCTAAATTAAAGAGGGAAATTGTATATTTGTGATCAGTACACTATATACCATTAAATGTTGTATAACCAATAAAAACACATTAGAATCATTTAATGAAGAAATTATTAAATGAGGTATATCATATTATAAAGCAATCTACACTTATTGCATCAAGTTTGTGGATGTGTAAATGATTTAATGATTGATCCAGCTCAGATAAAGTAAAATTGTTAAGTGGAAAAGTAAGTCCTAAACATAACTTTATCTGTCATAATGACCTGTTTTTGGAAATTTGGAAGAGTGAAATAATCCATAAATTTAAAGAGAAAATGAATGAAAATATTGAGAGTGTGGGAAATTAGAGACTCTCATATTTGTGGTGGATATGTAAATTGATATTAGTAATTTCAAGGGCAGGCTGGCAGAATGTTTCAAATATATATACCATTTCACCACCAAATTGTATTTCTGGGATTACCATAAGGATAATAAATGATATGCCCCAAATTTAAGCATCAGAAAAATTGATCAAAGAACACCAATAATGAGAAGTTTAAAATGTCCTAAGTGAAAGAAGAATGGGTTTGCTTAATTCTGATACATCAACTGAATAGAATCCCATGAAGCATTTTTAAACGGTATGTATTTTTTTAAACCTGGTAACAAGATAGGGTTCACTTGATCAGTCATTTAACAAATATGCCCTGAGAGCCATTTATGTATTAAGCACTGTTCCAGGGGCTTGTGATATAGTAGTGAAAAAAATATGAACATTGTTCTTTCAGAGAGCTTAATTTCAGGGCTAAGAGACTTTTAATAAATGAATGAAGAAATAGATCAATAGATTGGTAGATGAATGAGTGAAAGAAACGAGGAAGGAAAGAGGGAAGGAAGAAGAGAAGGAAGGAAGGAAAGAAGGAAGAAAGGGAAAGGGAGGGAGGAAGGGAAAAGAATGAATACTAGTTATAAATGCTATGGATAAAAATAAGAGAAAAGGAAGAGTAAGAGTTCAGAATGGGTTGTTTCAACTAATGTTACTGGAGGAGGCCTCACTGGGGAAATAATATGAGTAACAACTTTAGGCTTGTTAAAGATTTTGTTTTGTTTTCAGTTTTTTGTTTTTCTCTATATGAACATACACTGCTTTATAGTAAGTAAAAATTATTTAAAGATTTTTCTTCTTTGAAGTACAGTTGATGTACAATGTTGTATTAGTTTTAGGTATTCAACATAGTGATTTGACAATTATATATACATTATGAAATATTCACCATGATAAATATAGTTAACATTTGTCACCATACAAAGTTATTTTGGTCTTATTGACTATATTCCCTATGCTGTACTTTTCATCCCTGTGACTTAATTCATTTTATATTTGGAGGTTTACTTCTTCACCTGTCTCACTCATCTCCCACCTCTGTCTCCAATGGCAACCACTGGTTTGTTCTCTATTTATGTCTGTTTCTATTTTACTTGCTTGTTTGTTTTATTTTTTAGATTCCACATATAAGTGAAATCATATGGTATTTTTCTTTCTTTTTCTGACATATTTCACTTAGCATAGTACCTTCTTGGTCCATCTATGTTGTTGCAAATGGTAAATTTCACTGTTTTTAATGGCTGAGTACTATTCCATTGTGTATATGTACCACATCTTCTTTATCCACTCATCTATTAATGTGTACTTGGGTTGCTTCCATATCTTCACTGTTATAAATAATGTGACAATAAACATAGGGGTACATATATATATTTTTTAAACAGAGATTTTGGTTTCCTTAGTAAAAATCCAAAAGTAGAATTACTGGGTCATATGGAATTTCTATTTTTGGTTTTTTGAGGAATCTCTGTACTATTTTTCCATATTGGCTACACAAGTTTACAATTCCATTTACAGTAATACCAGGATTCCCTTTTCTCCACAACTTCACCAAGACTTGTTATTTCTTGTCTTTTGGATAGTAGCCATTCTTACTGGTGTGAGGTATTATCTCACTGTGGTTATGACTTGCATTTGCCTGATGGTTACTGTTGAGCAGTTTTTACATATCTCTTGGCCATCTGTATGTATTTCTTGGAAAAAATGTATATTTGGGCCCTCTGTCCATTTTTTAAATTAGATATTTTATTTGGTGTTGAATTGTGTGATTTCTTTATATATTTCTATATATACCCTTTATATATACCCTTATTAGGTATATCATTTATAAATATATTCTCTCATTCAGTAGATTGCCTTTTCATTTTGTTGATGGTTTCCTTTATGATGCAGAACTTTTCAGTTTG